AACGCCAAAAAACAAAACGTTTGTCACGTTGCGCTAATTCTGGACATTTGAAGCATCAGATTGACTGATTTTTACAACAAAACACATAACATGGAGTAACTTAGTAGCCTTGCAGTAATAAAATCCAAAGCTATAAAGTTTTGGGTCCGTATTCGTCTACCAAAAAGAAGCGAAGTTGTTTCAGTACACAGCAGCCCCGCATAACGTTGAACAGTTAGAGAGATAAATGACGTCATCTCATTATATATTCAAATCATGTTTACATGCGAAGCGTGGTCTGTATAACCATGGACCTTCCATGGTAAAACAAACGTTTGCCTAGTAACCGGAGAAAGAGGTCGATATGCCTAAACGCCAACCCCTAGTGCTAATTAACTCAACAACATCCGACGTTATGTCTTGTTCTAGCTGACACTCGGCTTCCACCACAACTTCGGAAACGGCGTTCTTGCACGGACCTTTGTCGATGGGTGGCCCGGCGGCAATCCCACATAAGACACTAATTTGCTATACCTCGCCGACCTCTCCCAACTGCTCGTCCGACCAGTACAGATTTCCTGTTGATATTAAATTGTCTGCCCGACTTTTTGGAAGATGGAAATTGATCTTGTTTTGCTGACGAAATTTTACCCTCTTGGTTTGAATACTCAAACTTAAAGTGTGAATCCCATTGTACTGTCGGCAATGCGTTTCTGTTATAGGTAAAGTTTCGCTTCCTCTGAACTACGTTTTGAGTTTTTCCTTGGGGACCTAAGTAATAACTCTTCATTAACAAAAAAAGCAAAATTCACGAAAATAACTCTACCGCATCCTTAAGTATAAATTATCCCAATTATGTTGTTCTTGGTTGTCTGCCAAGCTGTAATTGCGCACACGGTGGAATAAAATATATTGTGTACAACAAAGCATATGACGTAAGCTTATAGCCGAGACAAAACACGGATTATCGTCGCTCACCACGTGTTGTGTAGTTCTATTAGCTCAATTGCACAATGATGTGTTTTTATCTTCAATACAAACAGTTTGCTTTGTAGATTAGATAAAAACTCGTTCATATAAACTAGGTATTTGTCAATGTCGGTAAATCTGTTTTCTTCCCAGCGAATTGCAAACCTCTCAATAACGATGCGATACCAACACAGCGTAGCAACAACAAAGGATGTTTCAGTGTTGACTCCGTGCTAGCTAGCTTTTAGTACGGCCACATAATCATTAGGCCTCGGGATATAGACTGATTTACAGAGATGACGCAACATCCTTCGGGACTACTAGACCTACGTCATTGCCCCTTGATCACTCCGTTTGTGTTTTATTATATAGCAAATAACAACAATAACAACAATTTATTAACTCATAACAACCTACTGAAGGAGGTTAAAGGTTACAACAACAACACAAATTACAGAACAAAATTAATCAAATTACAATGGCTAATAGTTTAAAGACAACCTAAAACAGACTAAATTGAAGTTAGTAACGGAAATATAAAATAAAGTAAAATGAAACACCAACAAAAAACTATAAACTGAATATAAAAACAAAAACCCAATGAATAGGTTTAAAAAAAAGTTAATGACTAAGTGCTGCTGTCTAATAGCAAAGCTGTATTTCAGATATTGTGCCAGAGGAATTGCTAAGTTATTATATGACATTATTTTTATGAATTTATTTTCAGGTGTGAGATTAGTAAAGTCAGGAATAATCTTTTCAGCTTCATTGTATAAAATGACCCTCTCTTTACTATATACTAGGCATATTATGAGGAAGTGATGTTCATCTTCAATATCATTTTTATTACACAATTTGCAGATTCTGTCGCTACTTTTGATTCTGTTGTGTCTTCCTTTTTCAATTTCTAAACTGTGATTGCTCAGTCTGAATTTAGTTAGGGTACTTTTCAGTTCTTTATTTTTTAGCTTAATTAAGTAGTTTTCCAAAATGAAGTTTGTTTTAAATTTTTTGTAAGCCCTCATTTTTTTTT